TACATTGCTCTTCTCTGAGACCTTTCTGCAACAGCTCCTCTGGACTGGGACTGGAGTCTGCTGTGGGTAACGGCTCCACCAGACACACAGCATGAAGCTGCAAGGCTTCTAAACCCGGTCCTTCTCCCTCCCAGATGCAGCCTCTCACTACAGGTTCCAGCACCTTCATCTTCTTGCTGGACATCAGCTCGTCCCACTCTCTGGCTTTAAGCGTCTGTCGCATCTTTTGTTTCTCCAGGTCCCCACCCTCCTAAAAAATGTACCTGTGTTAGTAGTGTAAGCATTAAAGAAAAACGTTTTCAGAAATGCGATCCTAACTATAAATGTGGTCAGATTAAAATCCACACATCATCTTTTACCCGCTTCTTCCATTTTGGGTCGCTGGTGCCCATGTCCAGCGTCAGATTAAATGATACTTAAAGTCTAACAATGTCTGTTATAGTCCCAAGTGCTCTTAAGAGTTCAGCACAGTCATAGAATACAACCGTTATTTGTTGTTTTAGCATTTGGGCCACGCAAGTGTTAAAAAAACTCCTTAAACAAATTCTAGTCAAGAAAACACAGGAGCACCAACAAATGATTATCGAAGGCTAATGACGTCACGCCAGCGATCAGGCACAGTGTGTATTCAAGATGAGGCACATGCTGATGAAAGTTCAAGTGATTTAGAAGATATCCAAGATAACTTAGATGACCACGGTGGTTTAGCAATGGCATGTGTAATAAATGTAGTCTTATGGTAGCTTTGGGGGAGAGGCTTAGTTTATAGATCTTTTTACATTTAACAAACACCTTTATGCATGTAACCACATTATTATTGTATGCTGGGCAAACTTAAGAGCCTGACGACCCTTCTAGGTACACGATGAGGCTTCTTATACCGTTCTACAGAGCTTGGAACGTCACACACGCCACACATTTTTGAATTAATGACACCATCTGTCAATTAATCCAGTAGGCTCGTCAGCAACTGACCAATCGGCATCACAATTTGCACTGAAGTGAAACGCCTCTTACCCACAGGAGCTGCACCTCCTTTTCCTCCAACAACATTGTCGGGATTTAGCTTTACGAACATTTTGCATCTAAGCATCTTAACACTAAACTGATTTTGCACAAAGCATTTATTAGGTTGTGTAATGTAAAATTTACACTCTTACATACTGCATTTCACTGTAAATGCAGCTCCTGCTCCACTCCAGCTGTGCTCGAGTGCCTGACCACTGAGATCCTGGAACTAGCATGAAGCACGGCTCATGACGGCGGAAAGACAGGATCGTCCCCCGACACCTGCAGCTGGCTGTCTGCAGAGACGAGGAGCTCTGCAGCTGCTGGGAGGAGTTGCCATCGCTCTGGGAGGAGTTCTGCCCAGCATTCAGGCGGTCCTACAGCCCGGGGGAACCGAGAGGCCAGCCGAGTCTGGGTGGATGGATCGGACAGCATCTACAGCCAGTTTCTTAAGATCAGCTGTGGGACGGACCTTTACAAGAGATCCTTCCTGCCTACAGCCATCAGTATCTATAACATCTCTTAATGAAATGAGGATAACGAGTTACAACAACAAATAATTTCCCTTTGGGATTAATAAAGTATTTTTGAATTGAAATTATTGCCCTGTGTTGCTCTGCGGCACGAAAACATCTACTGTCGTAACTGTTTAAAGTTATTAATATCTTTGAACATTTTTTTGCGTATCTTCTTGTCCTTAATGTTGGTTGATAAGACAAAAATGCCTCACCAATGCAGTGACCTACCTCTGCTCTCACAGACATCTTGTTTGTTTGTAAGACGTTATCTCACCCTGGGTTAATTTCTGCACAGGCGGAGCGCACTTATCGTTTGTGTCATGTCAACTGATAAAGCCTCCCAGATGGGAAGAGAAACATCTTCAGCTTTAGAACAGAAGTCCAGTTGTTGTTGTTTTTTTAAACCATTTTCTAATTTACCATGACCTGGATGACTGAGAATCTTCACCAGCATATTGTCCGCGTCATGATAATTATTAAAGAACTTCTACAAACTGCAACTTTGAAAAGTGAAAACTTTTGAAAGGCCAAAAAAAAAAAAAAAAAAAAAAAAAAAACCAGCTCTGCCCATACCTCTTCCTCCAGGGCCCCTTCATCATCTGAGAGATAGCCATGAGGAACAAAAAAGCCATCATCGTCATCCTCTTCATCATCACCTCCGTCTTCATCTTCCTTAAAATAGTGAACAGTCAAAAGTAAAAATTAAACAACTGAAATGACAGTTTTCTGTTCAGGAGCCACACAGCTTTTCTGAAAGTCAAGGTAAGAGGAAAATATTTGTTATTCTATTAAACTACCGTATAACGTGTTGGGGTAAAATATCAATGTGACTTTGATCTTTGATGAAACTCTTGCATGGCCGATCCAAATGGAGAACTGCATCATATTCATGGCATTTTTCTCAAGTCATAAAAATGACTATATATGACGTCCACTTAGTGCAGTTCTTCTGAACATACATATATATATATATA